TGTTACTTGAATCCCAGATTGCCACCTTAATTTTCTGTATCTTGAACATTGTTAATTGAATAGGGTTAGCAGAGACATACCTGTACACTCTAAAAAAATGAGGGGTTCAACAAGGGTTCTTCTAAGATCCTCAAAGTTATTGTGCAAATCTTTGTAAAACAGAAAATGGACACAATTCAATGGATATCAATCAACAAAGAGGTAAGAATATGTATGCTATAAGAATATGTTGAAGGCTAGCTGTATTGGGTGCAGATGACTAAACTGCTCACTTTTGTGTCTGTGTCTGCAGCTATACAGATGAGGAGGCATACATACAGTCATGGTAAAACGTTTTGAGAATGACACAAGTATTGGTCTTCACAAAGTTTGCTGCTTCAGTGTTTTTAGATATTTTTGTCAGATGTTACTATGGTATACTGAAGTATAATTACAAGCATTCCATAAGTGTCAAAGGCTTTTATTGACAATTACATTATGCAAAGAGTCAATATTTGCAGTGTTGACCCTTCTTTTTCAAGACCTCTGCAATCCGCCCTGGCATGCTGTCAATTAACTTCTGGGCCACATCCAGAAGTTTGTTAGAATTTGTGGGTTTTTGTTTGTCCACCCGCCTCTTGAGGATTGACCACAAGTTCTCAATGGGATTAAGGTCTGGGGACTTTCCTGGCCATGGACCCAAAATGTAGATGTTTTGTTCCCCGAGCCACTTAGTTATCACTTTTGCCTTATGGCAAGGTGCTCCATCATGCTGGAAAAGGCATTGTTCGTCACAAAACTGTTCTTGGATGGTTGGGAGAAGTTGCTCTCTGAGGATGTGTTGGTACCATTCTTTATTCATGGCTGTGTTCTTAGGCAAAATTGTGAGTGAGCCCACTCCCTTGGCTGAGAAGCAACTCCACACATGAATGGTCTCAGGATGCTTTACTGTTGGCATGACACAGGACTGATGGTAGCGCTCACCTTGTCTTCTCCGGACAAGCTTTTTTCCGGATGCCCCAAACAATTGGAAAGGGGATTCATCAGAGAAAATGACTTTACCCCAGTCCTCAGCAGTCCAATCCCTGTACCTTTTGCAGAATATCAGTCTGTCCCTGATGTTTTTCCTGGAGAGAAGTGGCTTCCTCGCTGCCCTTCTTGACACCAGGACATCCTCCAAAAGTTTTTGCCTCAGTGTGCGTGCAGATGCACTCACACCTGCCTGCTGCCATTCCTGAGCAAGCTCTGCACTGGTGGTGCCCCGATCCCGCAGCTGAATCAACTTTAGGAGACGGTCCTGGCGCTTGCTGGACTTTCTTGGGTCCCCTGAAGCCTTCTTCACAATAATTGAACCTCTCTCCTTGAAGTTGTTGATGATCCGATAAATGGTTGATTTAGGTGCAATCTTACTAGCAGCAATATCCTTGCCTGTGAAGTCCTTTTTGTGCAAAGCAATGATGACGGCACGTGTTTCCTTGCAGGTAACCATGGTTAACAGAGGAAGAACAATGATTTCAAGCACCAACCTCCTTTTAAAGCTAAAGTCTGTTATTCTATCTCAATCAGCATGACAGAGTGATCTCCAGCCTTGTCCTCGTCAACATTCTCACCTGTGTTAACGAGAGAATCACTGACATGTCAGCTGGTCCTTTTGTGGCAGGGCTGAAATGCAGTGGAAATGTTTTTGGGGGATTAAGTTCATTTTCATGGCAAAGAGGGACTTTGCAATTAATTGCAATTCATCTGATCACTCTTCATAACATTCTGGAGTATATGCAAATAGCCATCATAAAAACTTTTGACCATGACTGTAGATATGGGGGATTATGGGGAAAAATTTACCCCAAAAGGTTATTCAACAGGTTCTTTGAGGATCCATTAAAAGGGGTTCTTTGAAGAACTTATAGAGGTTCCCCCACAGTTTCAATTTGAAGAACCCCTAAAGGATCCTCCAGGAAGCTTTACTTTTTAGAGTGTAACAGCAGGGCTTTCAGCAGCATCAGAGGTGTTGGTGGATGCTTTAGAGGACAGCGGTACATCTTTATCCTCTTAAGCAATACATAAGTAAACACTCCTGTGAGTGTACCTATTACTGTTTAAATGTGCATATTTCCATTGTGCATATTACTATTACTATCATACTTAATTCATATTGCTACCATTGTTCTGACAAAAAAAGGAATCCCTCTGTTAGACCTGTTATTCTGTCATTCTCACTCACAGCATTGATTTCATAACTCTAGCTGAAATGTGCTGAAACATTTTATTGGACGCCAATGGCATAAAGTTCCTAGCCTGGCTGATTAGATAGATACCAGACCACGTGGTACAACACAAGCTGTGTAACCATTGTGGTGTACCCCCACAGTTATAAAGCAAGGGGCAGCACTTGGGGGCTGGGTGTGTTTGAGAGAGAAACAGAAGAGAATCAACCAGTGTAACAGCAGACTCCATTATTGATGCATTGTGCCGGTAACTTCAAAGGAGCCCCCCCAGACGCTGAAGTCAGGAGGACTTCGACTTCTGGGATGGCTTCCTGTGATTCTGTGGTTGGAGTCACTGGCTCCTGGATCTCCTCTTCAGCTGCGGGAGCATGTTGCTTGTTCTCAACTGAACATCATTATCCCCAGGTTTTACAGGCATTCAGCAATGAGGACACTTATGAGATTCTCTCATTGCTCACCATTATCCAGAGAAAAGTTCTAGTCAATACTTGATCTATAACCTTTTCACAATAATTATATTGCAATCTTTTCTGTACCTTGAACTTCGTGGATTGAAAAGGGTGAGCAGAGACATATACTACATGACCAAAAGTATGTGGACACCTGCTCATCGGAAATCTCATTCCAAAATCATGGGCATTAATATGGAGTAGGTCCCCCCTTTGCTGCAATAACAGCCTCCACTCTTCTGGGAAGGCTTTCCACTAGATGTTGGAACATTGCTGCAGGGACTTGCTTCCATTCAGCCACAAGAGCATTAGTGAGGTCAGGCACTGATGTTGAGTGATTAGGCCTGGCTCGTAGTCGGCATTCCAATCCATCCCAAAGGTGTTTGATGGGGTTGAGGTCAGGGCTCTGCGCAGGCCAGTCAAGTTCTTACACACCAATCTCGACAAACCTCGCTATGGACCTTGCTTTGAGCATGGGGGCATTGTCATGCTCAAACAAGAAAGGGCCTTCCCAAAACTGTTGCCACAAAGTTGGAAGCACAGAATCGCCTAGAATATCACTGTATGCTGTAGCATTAAGATGTCCCTTCACTGGAACTAAGGGGCCTAGCCTGAACCATGTAAAACAGCCCCAGACCATTATTCCTCCTCCACCAAACTTTACAGTTGGCACTATGCATTGGGGCAGGTAGCGTTCTCCTGGCATCCGCCAAACACACATTCGTCCGTTGGCCTGCCAAATGGTAAACCGTGATTCATCACTCCAGAGAACGCGTTTACACTGCTCCAATGGCAGCGAGCTTTACATCACTCCAGCCGACGCTTGGTATTGCGCATGGTGATCTTAAGCTTGTGTGCGGCTGCTCAGTCATGGAAACCCATTTCAAGAAGCTCCCGACAAACAGTTCTTGTTCTGACGATTTTTATGCGCTATGCGTTTCAGCGGTCCTATTCTGTGAGTTTGTGTGGCCTACCACTTCACAGCTGAGCAGTTGTTTCCACTTCACAATAACATCACTTACAGTTGACCGGGCTAGCTCTAGCAGGGCAGAAACTTGAAAAACTGACTTTTTGGAAAGGTGGCATCCTATGACGGTGCCTCGTTGAAAGTCACTGAGTTCTTCAGTAAGGCCATTCTACTGCCAATGTTTGTCTATGGAGATTACATGGCAGTGTGCTCGATTTTATACATCTGTCAGCAACGGGTGCGGCTGAAATAGCCGAATCCACTAATTTGTAGGTGAGTCCACATACTTTTGTATATATAGTGTACCTGTAGCAGCATCATCAGCTGTTAAGTGTTGGAATGGGTGCTTCAGAAATCAGCAGTACATCTTTCTCAATACTGAACTCAGGGAGCCTGAGAGAATGGAGTTTAAAACTTGGACTCCATAGCATAGTCAAATTTTGAAACTGGCATTTTCAAACGCATGCATTCCGACAATGACTCAAGTCTTTATTCATTTCAAAGTGGAAACATAAAACGCATCAAGGCACTCGGGTGCAGAGGACAGCAGTACATCATTGTTTCTACTTTTAAGCAATAAATATAAGCACTGCTATGATTGTACAATTACTGTGTAAACATGTAGTTAGCCTCATTGTACTAGGACTACCCAAAACCTATTCAATACTGTTAAAAGGCACTGTACCGTATACTGTAGTATCTATAAATATCATTCGCCTATAAATATTTCATATCACACCAGACAGAACATTTTTTGCATTTCTGTAGACAACATGGACATACATTCAGTCAAAAAACAAACAAACTAAAACAATACACTGGCTTTACTTAAATTAAAAAAGGAAGAAACTGTCATTCTACAGATGTGCAACTCAACTCAAACGGCTTAGTTAGATTTTGGCTCATCATCATCATGCATTTGCATGTCTATAGACAATATGGATATAGACGAGTCACAAAAACAATACAGTAGCAATGTGGGAAATTGCTGATCACTTATGTAAAATGCACTTTAAGAAAACATTCTATGGATGTGCATCAACGCAAAATGCTTAGCTAGCTGAACTAAGTGTGCTCTTGCTTTATGTATAGAAGTGCTAGCATAGCTCACGAAAGTATTGCAGACATGTAAAATCTGAAAACAGTGTTGCTGTTCATTATTATTCCAATCATTCAATTCATATTGGCATCATGACAACTGACAAGAAAATACCTTTAAGTTAATACCAAACCCTTTACCTGTTATTCTGCCATTCTTCCTCACAGCATTAATGTTAGTCTAACCATTATTAAGTTCCCTTTAAAAACAGAAAGAACCCCCCCCCTCCACACCAAAAAAGAATAACGCTCCAGCATAAATTAATGTGTTGAAATGACATTCTATTCGACCTCCATGGCTGACACATCCAGCTCCCCGTCTGACTTTACTGGGGTGAGTTCCACAGATTCTGAGGTTCCTGGCGCTTCCGTTTCTGAGGCACTGTCTGTGGTCAGAGTCACCAGCTCCTGGATCTCCTCTTCAGCTGGGGGAGTAGGCTGCTTCTCCTCAACTAAAATTGAGAGGATCAATTCAATTTACAGGTATTCAAGAAAGTAAGCAATGAAGACAATTATGCGATTCTGCCAATCAGGGCCTAAAAATTAACACCCGTTAATGTGGGTAGATTTTGGCATTGGCGGGTAAGATGTATTTTTCACCAGCCACGTTGGCAGATGGTCAGGGCTGCACAGTGCGACCATTTCACTTGCGAGTAAAAATAGTCAAGTATGATCACATTTTAGCTAAATAAATGCTGCAGTAGCTGTTTTCAAAGTATTTCTGCCATTTTGTTTTATAGCTGGTAAATTAAATTGTACAAAATCAAAGGACTACAAATCCTACTATCACCTATCCCACCTCGCGCTACAACACTGCTTGGCTGTGGGCACGTGACGAGCTGAGTGAAAGATACATTTTTAGTAGCACTGTGCACAGCTATAAAAGTTGGTCTAATTTACTTGAAATAAAAGTCTACTTAAGTGAGACTTTGTCCTTGTGTTTCTTGGCCATTTACATTGTTTGTTCACAAGCTAGGTTATTTTTCAATGTTTGTGTTTCAACTGTTAGGGAAGAGAAGACAATGCGGCTACTAGTTGGACTCAAACTCACAAGCACAAACGTGACTTGAGTCGCATTACCACGGTAACCTCTCGCCCTTAAAGTGGCTGGTGAACATTTGTCTCATCTGTGATATTTTGATTAAAAGACTCAGGTGACAAAATGTAATTAAACAATATACCACATTACTCCTTACTAGTAACACATGTATTGCTTTAGAAACATTACAACGCATATTCATCCGTTTGTGTTTTGTTGGTGTAATTTGTGAAAAATCAGTGGCAGGTAGATTTTTAAAGCCACTGACAGTGTCTGGTGTTATACGCCCTGCTTTAAATGCTCATCATTATCTTGATATACACTACATGACCAAAAGTATGTGGACACCTGCTCATCGAACATCTCCTTCCAACATGATGAGCATTAATATGGAGTTGGTCCCCCCTTTGCTGCTATAACAGCCTCCATTCTTCTGGGAAGGCTTTCCACTAGATGTTGGAACATTGCTGCGGGGACTTGCTTCCATTCAGCCACAATAGCATTAATGAGGTCGGGAAATGATGTTAGGCGATTAGGCTTGGCTCGCAGTTGGCGTTCCAATTCATCCCAAAGGTGTTCGATGGGGTTGAGGTCAGGGCTCTGTGCAGGCCAGTCAAGTTCTCCCACACCGATCTTGAAAACCGATTTCTGTATGGACCTCGCAGGGGTGCGTGCTCAGTCCCCTCTTGTACTCCCTGCTCACCCATGACTGCATGGCCAGGCACGACTCCAACCCAATCATTAAGTTTGCCGAAGACACAACGACAATGATGAGACAGCCTGTAGGGAGGAGGTCCGAGACCTGGCCGTGTGGTGCCAGGATAACAACCTCTTCCTCAACGTGAGCAAGACAAAGGAGATGATTGTGGACTACAGGAAGAAAAAGAGGACTGAGCACGCCCCCATTCTCATCGACGGGGCTGTAGTGGAACAGGTTGAGAGCTTCAGGTTCCTTGGTGTCCACATCACCAATAAACTATCATGGTCCAAACACACCAAGACAGTCGTGAATAGGGCACGACAAAGCCTATTCCCCCTCAGGAGACTGAAAAGATTTGGCATGGGTCCTCAGATCCTCAAAAAGTTATACAGCTGCACCATCGAGAGCATCCTGACTGGTTGCATCACCGCCTGGTATGGCAACTGCTCGGCCTCCGACCACAAGGCACTACAGAGGGTTGTGCGTACAGCCCAGTACATCACTGGGGCCAAGCTTCCTGCCATCCAGGACCTCGATACCAGGCGGTGTCAGAGGAAGGCCCTAAAAATTATCAAAGACTCCAGCCACCCTAGTCATAGACTGTTCTCTCTGCTACCGCACGGCAAGTGTTACCGATGCGCCAAGTCTAGGTCCAAAAGGCTTCTTAACAGCTTCTACCCCCAAGCCATAAGACTCCTGAACGGCTAATCATGGCTACACAGACTTTTTGTATTGCCCCCCACCCCAACCACCTCTTTTACGCTGCTGCTACTCTGTTTATTATTTATGCATAGTCACTTTAACTCTACCCACATGTACATATTACCTCAATTACCTCGACTAACCGACTAGCACTTACAGTTGACCGGGGCAGCAATTTGACAAACTGACTTGTTGGAAAGGTGGCATCCTATGACGGTAACACTTTGAAAGTCACTGAGCTCTTCAGTAAGGCCATTCTACTGTCAATGTTTGTCTACGGAGATTGCACGGCTGTGTGCTAGATTTTAAACACCTGTCAGCAACGTGTGTTGCTGAAATAACCGAATCCTCTAATTTGAAGTGGTGTCCACATTATTTGTATATATAGTGTATCTTCTTGATCTAAGTAGCTGTGTGATCTATATATATATATTTTTTAAATAATAATAATAGTAAGGTTGAGCAGAGACATACCTGCAGTAGCGGGGCGTTCATCAGCTTCAGGGGCAGGTGGTGTAGTTACAGGTCCTGGTTCTACGGGTGTTGGTGATGTTATGGGTGCCTCAGCACTGACCTCAGAGAGTCGGGGTGCTTGGGGTCTGGTCTTTCTCGCAGGATTCAGGACATAACAATATGCACATCTGAAGGCTGAAATGAGACACATAAACCAACATGCTCAAAGTGCACTGTCAACTGAATGATTGTCATATATTTCCATGTAGACACAGATTAATTTATATATGAAAATGAAACCAATGATATTCCAAAAAGAATTGCGTCAAAGATACGTAAACGCATCAGATCGATGGGTTACACTCGTTTGCATATTCAATCTAGATGGGCTCTTTTTGCTTACAGAGGCTGGTAGTGGCAGAGGCTTTTAAGAGCCTGATGATATACTGTGCTGCCAAATGCTAGAGGGCAAATGAAGGCGCAGTGTTTGATGGAGACTGACAGAGAGCGTCGTGTTTCTCTAAATCTTACCAACATATTCAAATTCCTCTTTTAATGCCATGCCGTTATGGGTGAGACACTGCTGGCATATGAGGGCATATCTGGAGGGGAGAAAATAATCTGTTTGAGAATGCATACATGCAATGAAATTAACAAGATAATTTTGCTGTTTTTATATTTAGCAATTGTCATCAATAGAAATACATTTAACTGTAAATTACTATAGCGCTTACATCTGCACAAATACATATTTCAAAAGCAAGTATTTGGTTGACAATCACTGTCAAGCAGAAGCTACATTTTACCTATTCTGAGGGCCATCGCCGACAAAGTACTCAATGACCCTGTCCATGGCGCCTCTATCCCGGGGGAGGACAGGTCTGGCCAGGGGTGGGCCTGGGGGGTGCATTCCTGTTATGCCAGACACACATGCACATTAGCTGCACATAGTCCGTGGTCTCGAATACAAATCATCACACACACTGAGCCAGAGGAGAAGAAAACAGACACATCTACAGTTAGCTGCAGAGGCACATGATAAATGGTTGATATGGACAGGTTTTAATAATGACTTGGAAATGGATCTCACTTGCAAAGCACGTGAACGAGAATCCCTGCTGTGTTGCTGAGCGGTAATTAATATAATCTAACATCAAGAGCAATCATAGGAAGATGACTGGTCATTTCTGGGAGACTTGGCAAAGTCTCAGCTTCCTGCTGCTTATTCATTTACCAACATATGGAAACTCTGTGGTGACTCTTTCTATCAAATTGCTTTTCACTTTCAATTTTCCACAAAAGTGCCTGATAGTATCAAGCCATATGAAACATTTGCAAGATGTGCCCATGCCAAACGCAATTTTACCTGGCATTAGAAAGGCATTTAGTAAGATTTCAGTACCAATGCCCAGAGAACAAATGCAGGCCTACCTAATTAATCATAGTTAAAGTCATCTTGGCTCTTGTACACCTCAGTTGGCTTTCCACATGGCAATTACACCATGTTGCTTTTTCTGGGAAAGCAAACAGTCTTTAACTGTTTGCACTCTTTTGCATTTCCTATGAAGTGTCCGAGGCCAGACCGCATGTTTACATAAGAGTAAATATACACTTAACATAAAACTGACAGTAGCTAGGTTTCCATCTAACTACATGCGCGTTTTCCCACCAGCTGTTTCCGTCAAATTGACTCGTTGCGGATAAAAGGCTGTGCATGATAACGTAGTGCACATAAAAATAACTTCTGCGGTTCAATTCCCATGTCCCTAATAAGAAATACAAATTTCAAATCACATTTTCAATTCTACTACTGGTCATCACAACAAACGTTGCGTTATATAGTGAATGTGCACTCTAGCCAACAGCTTGCAGATACAGTGCTACCTACATGAGATTATTATAGATAAGTGCAATCATTTTTATTTGTCAAAAGGATCGATCATCAGGTCACCAGAATAAGGCCCTTGATATTTTTTGGAAAGGAGCATCATCTCATCGCCTTGCACTTTCACCACCCTGTGACGTTCATAACTATACAGAACAAAAATAAAAACGCAACAATTAACGATTTTACTGAGTTACAGTTCATAAGGAAATCAGTCAATTTAAATCCTAATCTATGGATTTCACATGACAGGGCAGGGGTGCAACCATGGGTGGGCATAGGTCCACCCACTTGGGAGACAGGCCCACCCACTGGGGAGACAGGCCCAGCAAATCAGAATTATTTTTTTCCCCACAAAAAGGCTTTATTACAGACAGCAATACTCAGTTTCATCAGCTGCCTAGGTGGCTGGTCTCAGACGATCCCGCAGGTGAAGAAGTCGGATGTGGAGGTCCTGGGCTGGCATGGTTACACGTGGTCTGCAGTTGTGAGGCTTGTTGGACGTACTGCCAAATTCTCAAAAACAACTTTGGAGGCAGCGTATGGTAGAGAAATTAACATTAAATTCTCTGGCGGACATTCCTGCAGTCAGTATGCCAATTGCACGCTCCTTCAAAACTGTGGCATTGTGTTGTAACAAAACTGTACATTTTAGAGTGGCCTTTTATTGTCCACAGCACAAGGTGCACAGGTGTAATGATCATGCTGTTTAGTCAGCTTCTTGATATGCCACACCTGTCAGGTGGATGGATTATCTTGGCAAAGGGAAGTCTCACTAATAGGGATAAACAAAATGCTTTCCAGAGTCGTAGTGGGAGTACCACACAACATATCATCGCATGACTCCAAGTTTACGTCGATATGATGGTTATTATATCAATATGGGCATTAAAGCGTTTCCACCTCCTGCATAATTAATTTTAGACACAAAGAGATGTCACCTTCTCTTGCATGTTTTGTCGACATTTGGAAAGTTACCTGACAAATCTGCTGTTTCCATCAGGCCTGTCATTACATTTTTTACCGGACATGTACTTTACTGGCATCAAAAGGTTGGATGGAAACCTGGTTACTGTCCAGATTATTTTGGAATCACCCTTGGTCAAAGGTTGGTTGTGAGAAATCTTGGTGAAAATACATAAACAATTACTGAATTGGAACTAAATTAAATTCTGAAAATGGCCCTAAATCTCAGTCCAATTTCACACCTATCGACTTCGTTAACCATCCTCTCCTCTTCTCTGGAGCAAGCTTGACCTTCGGTTTGTTTTACGGCAAACCCTACCATAATGGATTCAAATACTACACTTAATTGGCCATCACTACCATATGTAAAACAAACTGTCACACCTGTAAAAAATAAATAAATAAAAAAAGAGTCCCGTCCCTGAAGGACTGGTGAGACAGGGATGGGTAAATCACCTTAAATCGACCACATTATGATGTGGTCCCTGTGTGCAGCTAACTCACCCACTCCTGGAACAGGTGTGCCAGGGGTCATGGGCCTCTTCATCAAGCTCTGCTGAGCAGCCTCAGCAGACAGGATTCTCTCTGGGGGTCCTCCAGGAGCTGAGTGGAGGGGCGGCCCTGCGTGGGTGGCCCCTGGGGCCAGAGGAGGACGTGCTGCGGCAGGAGTCACTGCCACCGGGGGCCGAGGAGTAACATGACGCTGACGGAGTTCTAATGGAGGAAACAATGCAGGGATTATGTTTATCAATGGTAAGCAATGCAAACACATGAAAGGCCTTAATATATCTAGCCAACTATATTACCTTGGCCCGGTTTTGGAGTCACAGGAGTTCCACTTGGAATGGATTCTGGCACCTTCATATTGGAAACAAGATTAAGACGGATACTTTCAAGGTTAATTATAGCGGCAGGTAGCCTAGTGTTTAAGAGCGTTGGTATTCAAATAATTATTGGGCTCATAGGAAGATGGAATACTTACCTTTGTCTTAGAATCAGGATCAAATCTCTCCAGAATAATTTTTGCGGTTTTATATGTTTCAGTCTCCATCACCTCTAGAAGCTGTTGGACAAAAGCATTTCATATTTTCAATGTAAAAGGAAATTAAAAAGGACAAATAAAGCACAAATGTAAAGTCAGGTTAATTCATTACACTAGTATGGGTTATTTCATCAGTCAAGAGTCATAGCATTGGTCTTCAGGCAAGCATTGGAGTATTGAAGCAAGCATTGGTCTTCCAGTAAACCCCCTTGACTATGGCGGTTTCTGTTCAAGTCGCTTATGTGTGATCTGTTAATTGACTAATGATGTTGATATGACATGTCACCATTCCATACATTTAATCCTGTTAAAATCCAATGACTAATGCGGACATCCATGATAACCAATGTCGTACCTTCCATATCATCATTAATCAAATTAAAAAGAGCAAGTGAACACACAATTAATTGATTTCTTGAAATAATTAACTGCTTTAAAACAGGTGGGTCCTACAACCCTCATCTATCCTGTCATGCATCTGCACAGATCAGAGCCCATAACCACAAAGCATCTCAGAGAAAGGGAGATACCTAGTCAGTTGTACAACTGAATGCATTCAACTGAAAATGTGTCTTCCGCAATTAACCCAACCCCTCTGAATCAGAGAGTAGGAGTGCTGATCTAAGATCTGTCCATATAAATCAAATCAAATTTTATTTGTCACATACACCTGTTTAGTAGATGTTATTGTGGGTGTAGCGAAATGCTTGTGCTTCTAGCTCCGACAGTACAGGAATATCTAACAAGTAATAGATACATTTCACAACATATACCCAATACACACAAATCTAAGTAAGGAATTTAATTAAGAATATATACATATACAGTGGGGAGAACAAGTATTTGATACACTACCGATTTTGCAGGTTTTCCTACCTACAAAGCATGTAGAGGTCTGTAATTTTTATCATAGGTACACTTCAACTGTGAGAGACGGAATCTAAAACAAAAATCCAGAAAATCACATGATTTTTAAGTAATTAATTTGCATGACATAAGTATTTGATCACCTACCAACCAGTAAGAATTCCGGCTCTCACAGACCTGTTAGTTTTTCTTTAAGAAGCCCTCCTGTTCTCCACTCATTACCTGCACCTGTTTGAACTCGTTACCTGTATAAAAGACACCTGTCCACACACTCAAACAGACTCCAACCTCTCCACAATGGCCAAGACCAGAGAGCTGTGTAAGGACATCAGGGATAAAATTGTAGACCTGTACAAGGCTGGGATGGGCTACAGGACAATAGGCAAGCAGCTTGGTGAGAAGGCAACAACTGTTGGCGCAATTATTAGAAAATGGAAGAAGTTCAAGATGACAGTCAATCACCCTCGGTCTGGGGCTCCATGCAAGATCTCACCTCGTGGGGCATCAATGATCATGAGGAAGGTGAGGGATCAACCCAGAACTACACGGCAGGACCTGGTCAATGACCTGAAGAGAGCTGGGACCACAGTCTCAAAGAAAACCATTAGTAACACACTACGCCGTCATGGATTAAAATCCTGCAGTGCACGCAAGGTCCCCCTGCTCAAGCCAGCGCATGTCCAGGCCCGTCTGAAGTTTGCCAATGACCATCTGGATGATCCAGAGGAGGAATGGGAGAAGGTCATGTGGTCTGATGAGACAAAAATATAGCTTTTTGGTCTAAACTCCACTCGCCGTGTTTGGAGGAAGAAGAAGGATGAGTACAACCCCAAGAACACCATCCCAACCGTGAAGCATGGAGGTGGAAACATCATTCTTTGGGGATGCTTTTCTGCAAAGGGGACAGGACGACTACACCGTATTGAGGGGAGGATGGATGGGGCCATGTATCGCGAGATCTTGGCCAACAACCTCCTTCCCTCAGTAAGAGCATTGAAGATGGGTCGTGGCTGGGTCTTCCAGCATAACAACGACCCGAAACACACAGCCAGGGCAACTAAGGAGTGGCTCCGTAAGAAGCATCTCAAGGTCCTGGAGTGGCCTAGCCAGTCTCCAGACCTGAACCCAATAGAACATCTTTGGAGGGAGCTGAAAGTCTGTATTGCCCAGCGACAGCCCCGAAACCTGAAGGATCTGGAGAAGGTCTGTATGTAGGAGTGGGCCAAAATCCCTGCTGCAGTGTGTGCAAACCTGGTCAAGACCTACAGGAAACGTATGATCTCTAATTGCAAACAAAGGTTTCTGTACCAAATATTAAGTTCTGCTTTTCTGACGTATCAAATACTTATGTCATGCAATAAAATGCAAATTAATTACTTAAAAATCATACAATGTGATTTTCTGGATTTTTGTTTTAGATTCCGTCTCTCACAGTTGAAGTGTACCTATGATAAAAATTACAGACCTCTACATACTTTGTAAGTAGGAAAACCTGCAAAATCGGCAGTGTATCAAATACTTGTTCTCCCCCCTGTATGGACAAGTAATCTTATTCATTATGATCTAAAAGTTAAAACTGATGCTAGATCAGCACTCCTACTCTGAGAAGCTTGGTGGATACAAGCCCAAGTCTTTACAATGCCTGGAAAAAATTTCAACATATCAATATGATGCGTTGGTGTATGAAGTCAGTAGTATTTTCATACGTTGCTTCTCCCGTCTTATGAAACTTTACAAGATGAGCTACCTACAAAAGTCAAAATGGCAGCCAGACCGACATTCCATCATCACTGCAATTTTGAAGGTTGAGAATAAAACTGCCAGTAGTAAGCCTACATCCTTTAAAAAGGCCCAATGCAGCCATTTGTTTATCAATATCAAATAATTTCTAGGTACCAATTTAGTACCTTACTGTAATAGATTTCCATAAAAAAAAAATTGGCAAAATTTGCTTTTTAGAAAAACTATTTCTCAAGCAAGAACTTTGTTAGGACTGTCTGGGACTGGTTTGAGTTGGGAGGGGGAAAACTGAAAACTAGCTGTTATTGGCAGAGAGGTTTAGAACTCTTGGTTTTGTTCTATTAAATAAATGTACCGCATGGTGATGTCACCATGGAAAGCAGAAACTCCCACCCATGCAAAACTGCTGATTAGAAGGTCCTGTGTAGACTGTATTTTCAACCAGCGACTCTCAGGAAATAAGATGTTTTTATTTTATTTTTAAAATCACACTTTTACAGTCTTAGTTTCATCAGCTGTTGTACAATATATGAAAAACTGAATTTTGACTGCATTGGGCCTTTAAAGATGGAATCCTTAATGGTAAAACAGCCACGTCAGTTCGCAAAATTACACCAAAGAAGTTACTGCAAACAATGATCACTGTTATGTACTGCATTTTTTGGAGGACCATGCTGCACGACAACAAAACAATAGTATAGAGCAGCCAGGTGTTTGAGCAACTTCATTTCAGGGAAACACTAAATAATTAAGAATTACATGCACTACTTCCATAATGGAGTATGAAAATCCATCAGAAATAATTATTGAAAGTTAGACATGAAAGATGACAAGCAATTTCTCAGATCTAAACTCAGCAAAAAAAGAAACGTCCCTTTTTCAGGACCCTGTCTTTCAAAGATAATTTGTAAAAATCCAAGTAACTTCACAGATCTTCATTGTAAAGGGTTTAAACACTGTTTCCCATGCTTGTTCAATGAACCAAACAATTAATGAACATGCACCTGTGGAACGGTCGTTAAGACACTAACAGCTTACAGACGGTGGGCAATTAAGGTCACAGTTATGAAAACTTAGGACACTAAAGAGGCCTTTCTACTAACTCTGAAAAACACCAAAAGAAAGATGCCCAGGTTCCCTGCTCATCTGCGTGAATGTGCCTAAGACAGCGCTACAGGGAGACAGGACGGACAGCTGATCGTCCTCACAGTGGCAGACCACATGTAAGAACACCTGCACAGGATCGGTACATCCGAACATCACACCTGCGGGACAGGTACAGGATGGCAACAACAACTACCCGAGTTACACCAGGAATGCACAATCCCTCCATCAGTGCTCAGTCTGTCCGCAATAGGCTGAGAGAGGCTGGACTGAGGGCTAGTAGGCCTGTTGTAAGGCAGGTCCTCACCAGACATCACCGGCAACAACGTCGCTTATGGGCACAAACCCACCATCGCTGGACCAGACAGGACTGGCAAAAAGTGCTCTTCGCTGACGAGCCGCGGTTGTGCTCACCAGGGGTGATGGTCGGATTCACGTTTATCGTCAAAGGAATGAGCGTTACACCGAGGCCTGTACTCTGGAGCGGGATCGATTTGGAGGTGGAGGGTCCGTCATGGTCTGGGGCGGTGTGTCACAGCATTATCGGACTGAGCTTGTTGTCATTGCAGGCAATCTCAACACTGTGCGTTACAGGGAAGACATCCTCCTCCCTCATGTGGTACCCTTCCTGCAGGCTCCTCCTAACATGACCCTCCAGCATGAGAATGCCACCTGCCATACTGCTCGTTCTGTGCGTGATGTCCTGCAAGACAGGAATGTCAGTGTTCTGCCATGGCCAGCGAAGAGCCCGGATCTCAATCCCATTGAGCACGTCTGGGACCTGTTGGATCGGAGGGTGAGGGCTAGGGCCATTCCCCCAGAAATGTCCGGGAACTTGCAGGTGCCTTGGTGGAAGAGTGGGGTAACATCTCACAGCAAGAACTGGCAAATCTGGTGCAGTCCATGAGGAGGAGATGCACTGCAGTACTTAATGCAGCTGGTGGCCACACTAGATACTGACTGTTACTTTTGATTTTGACCCCCCCCCTTTGTTCAGGGACACATTATTCAATTTCTGTTAGTCACATGTCTGCGTAACTTGTTCAGTTTATGTCTCAGTTGTTGAATCATGTTATGTTCATACAAATATTTACACGTTAAGTTTGCTGAAAATAAACACAGTTGACAGTGAGAGGACGTTTCTTTTTTTGCTGAGTTTATTTCCTTCCAGCACTACATACCACTAATTTAAGAGACGTTAGCAGAGTGCTTAACCAGGTAGTCTTTATGCCAATTAACAGCTGTCTGCATTGATTTTAGATTATTTATTAGGAGTAGCAATTATCTAAGTGAAGTGCTATAAAAGCTCAATAATAGCAAGACGCTGCATGAAGACTCCTGCAATGCTTAGATATGACACCTTGTAATAGTGTTCATCTCAATAGAGGTAAATGCCAGATTAAGCCCACTTAAAATAAGTTACAGAATGTAAAAATGGATGAGGATTTTTTTAAGTACAGACATTTCAGCTCTTTCATATGACACCTTCACAAATGATTAGGGGATGCACATTATTTTCACCCTTTTCAAGGTACAAGGGGTCAGCTATGGTGGATTCTAATAGCAGTCTAGACAATGTTCACCCAATCAAAAGCAACCCTCTGAAAAAGTGAACTTACTATTTTTCGTTTTTGTGATTTGAGGTCCTCCAATTTTTCATCTGAAACAAAAAACATTTGAGTGATTAAACCAAAAGCAGCATGTCATAATAATGATGAGGCAGAGGTAAATAAAGGTCAAAGCACATACTGTTTTTTTCTGTTCTTCTTTTAAAAAGAGCGAGCAGCCCCTTTCGAAGGAGCCATACACTATGGAAAGAACAATTAGAACCTCAATTGCAGGATCAGTAACAAACTATAAGTAGTCATAGCAATCTATTCCTTAAAAAGTATCATTAAAAATATGTACTTACAATAGTGGAAATACTACAAAAGGAAGGGCCAATATGACCTTTCCAATTGTCTGTTCAGGGAGGTACCAAAGATACACAATTATGCTGGCCATCAGGTAAAGAAGAGATGAGTACTGAAGCAGTCTCCACACCCATAACTTCAACTGTCTTTGATACAGTTCTCGACATTCCTCACAAGTCTGTATATCCTGTAAAAAACAATTATCATATTGCTCAAAAATAGAAAAACTGACAAATTGAATATAGCACAGCTCTCTCGCTCTAAAGCAACAAAATAAGAATTTTGGTATTCCCCAATTATATTACTAATATCAGAACTTTTAGTTAGCCCAACATAACCCTATTGCTACAATTACATCAATTCAATAGCAGTGCTGGAACCTGGACTGTGGAGTAACATTTGGAAACATTACTTTTTCATCCTTCCTCTGGTAATCTTGAGCAAATACTATTTATTCAATGCAGGCTTAAGGTCAGACTGCATTACCAACTTATCTTTCCTTTTTATTTAGACGGAAACACCTTTAGTTCTCGGTGTTGATTAACCTCACCCCAAAAATATCAGTTGGTGGACAGCGTAGCGACCTATCCTCCGCTGGTGCTAGTAAACATGTGTCACTCCGCTAGACATTGGTTCCAGTGATCTAAACCTCAAGCGAGACAGGGTCTGTATAATATAACCAGGTCAATCTCTAGTCTAGAGCAAGATCCCAAAATACTCTTGATCAAACGCAATCTTGAGGGGGTGTATCCTCTGACGCTACATTTTTTTCTCTCCAAAAAGCATAAACACATACCTTATCAATTCCTTCCAAAACCTCTACAGTTGATGGCTTAGTCTGTTCAAAGAAAAAGAAGTTAAATACAAATCAGAGATTGAAGACTTGCTTTAGTTCAGTTTTAAGAAAGCAGGGTACTATCCATAGCTTATGACCATTGAAGCATTGGCTTATTCTCTGGAATATTGAGGGCCCCCCGCATTATCTTCCAGTTTGCTTAAGTTCAAAGTACTGCATGTTCCCACCAAACGTTTCCATTCAGAACACAGCTTGTGTGAAAAATAGTACTGTCCATTCATCTAGATATCTGCAGATTGTTGCTTCTCTTGGAGAAATGCAAGAGAAGTATTATTATTATTATTATTATAAGTATTGGGTCATTTTTAAAACAGCAAAAACAAACTTGTGATAAACAAAACGTTCATTCAAAAGCACTTGCATTTCCACTTGATATATAAAAGATGCTGTTCCTAAATTACAGGACATAGCTGGGGCCACTAATACAAAAACAATGCACTCACTGTTGTATGTCGCTAAACCGTCTATAGGCCTATAGTATTATCATTAAATCATTTTGTTTTGATAACAATGACTACAAAAGGAAAACCAGCCACGTGGCGGACACCGATGTCTCGCTTCCAGACAAGCTAAACACCTTCGCCCGCTTTGAGGAGAACACAGTGCCACCGACGCGGACAGCTACCAAGGACTGTGGGCTCTCCTTCTCCGTGGCCGACGTGAGTAAGACATTTAAGCACGTTAACCCCCGCAAGGCTGCCGGCCCAGACGGCATCCCTAGCCGCGTCCTCAGAGCATGCGCAGACCAGCTGGCTGGTGTGTTTTCGGATATATTCAATCATTCCCTATCCCAGTCTGCTTTCCCCACATGCTTCAAGATGGCCACCATTGTACCTGTACCCAAGAAAGCAAATGTAACTGAACTAAATGACTATCGCCCCGTAGCACTCACCTGTCATCATGAAGGGACTAGTCAAGGATTCTTTTTTTTTTTGTCATTTAGCAGACGCGTTGCTCTACCAACTGAGCTACACCTATCACCTCTACCTTACCTGTCACTCTAGACCCACTTCAATTTGCTTACCGCCCCAATAGATCCACAGACAACACAATCGCCATCACACTGCCCTATCCCATCTGGAGAAGAGGAATACCTATGTAAGAATGCTGTTCATTGACTATAGCTCAGCATTCAACACCATAGTACCCTCCAAGCTCATCATTAAGCGAGGCCCTGGGTCTGAACCCCGCCCTTTGCAAGTGGGTCCTGGACTTCCTAACGGGCCACCTCCAGGTGGTGAAGGTAGAAAACAACATCTCCACTTCACTGATCCTCAACACTGGGGCCCCACAAGGGTGTGTGCTCAGCCCCCTCCTGTACTCCCTGTTCACCCATGACTGCGTGGCCAAGCACGCCTCTAACTCAATCATCAAGTTTGCAGATGACAACAGTAGTAGGCTTGATTACCAACAATGACGAGACAGCCTACAGCAGGGTTCTTCAATTCCGGTCCTGGAGGGCCGAAACACTTCTGTTTTTTATTTCTACCTGGTAGTTAATTGCACTCACCTGGTGTCCCAGGTCTGAATTAGCCCCTGATTAGAAGGAGAGGATGAAAAACAGAGGTGTTTCGGCCCTCCAGGACCGGAATTGAAGAACCCTGGCCTACAGGGAGCAGGTGAGGGCTCTGGGAGTGTGGTGCCAGGAAAATAACCTCTCACTCAACGTCAACAAAACAAAAGGAGATGATCGTGGACTACAGGAAACAGCAGAGGGTGCATCCCCCTATCCACATCGACGGGACCGCAGTGGAGAAGGTGGAAAGCTTCAAGTTCCTTGGGGTACACAGCATTGACAAACTGAAATGGTCCACCCACGCAGACAGTGTGGTGAAGAAGGCGCAACAGAGCCTCTTCAACCTCAGGAGGCTGAAGAAATTTGGCACGCCACCTAAAAACACTCAAACTTTTACAGATGCACAATTGATAGCATCCTGTCGGGTTGTATCACCGCCTGGTACGGCAACTGCACCGCCCGCAACCGCAGGGCTCTCCAGAGGGTGGTGCTGTCTGCCGAACACATTACCGGGGGCAAACTACCCGCCCTCCAGTACACCTACAGCACCCAATGTCACAGGAAGGCCAAAAAGATCACCAAGGACATCAACCACCCGAGCCACTGCCTGTTCACCCCGCTATCATCCAGAAGGTGAGGTCAGTACAGGTGCATCAAAGCTGGGACCGAGAGAATGAAAAACAGCTTCTATCTCAAGGCCATCAGACTGTTAAATAGCCATCACTAGCACATTAGAGGCTGCTGCTGCCTATTGAAATCACTGGCCACTTTAAGAAATGTAACACTAGTCACTTTAATAATGTTTACATATCTTGCATTACTCATCTCATATGTATATACTGTATTCTATAATATTATACTGTATCTTAGTCCATGCCGCTCTGTCATTGCTTGTCCATATATGTATTCTTAAATTCCATTCCTTACTTAGCTTTGTGTGTACAGTGAGGGAAAAAAGTATTTGATCCCCTGCTGATTTTGTACGTTTGCCCACTGACAAAGAAATGATCAGTCTATAATTTTAATGGTAGGTTTATTTGAACAGTGAGAGATAGAATAACAACAAAAAAATCCAGAAAACCGCATGTCAAAAATGTTTTAAATTGATTAGCATTTTAATGAGGGAAATAAGTATTTGACCCCCTCTCAATCAGAAAGATTTCTGGCTCCCAGGTGTCTTTTATACAGGTAACGAATCCTAATCTCAGCTTGTTACCTGTATAAACACACCTGTCCACAGAAGCAATCAATCAATCAGATTCCAAACTCTCCACCATGGCCAAGACCAAAGAGCTCTCCAAGGATGTCAGGGACAAGATTGTAGACCTACTCAAGGCTGGAATGGACTACAAGACCATCGCCAAGCAGCTTGGTGAGAAGGTGACAACAGTTGGTGCGATTATTCGCAAATGGAAGAAACACAAAAGAACTGTCAATCTCCCTCGGCCTGGGGCTCCATGCAAGACCTCACCTCGTGGAGTTGCAATGATTATGAGAATGGTGAGGAATCAGCCCAGACCTACACGGGAGGACCTTGTCAATGATCTCAAAGCAGCTGGGACCATTGTCAACAAGAAAACAATTGGTAACACACTACGCCGTGAAGGACTGAAATCCTGCGGCGCCCACAAGGTTCCCCTGCTCAAGAAAGCACATATACAGGCCCGTCTGAAGTTTGCCAATGAACATCTGAATAATTCAGAGGAGAACTGGGTGAAAGTGTTGTGGTCAGATGAGATCAAAATCGAGCTCTTTGGCATCAACTCAACTCGCCGTGTTTGGAGGAGGAGGAATGCTGCCTATGACCCAAAGAACACCATCCCCACCATCAAACATAGAGGTGGAAACATTATGCTTTGGGGGTGTTTTTCTGCTAAGGGGACAGGACAACTTCACCGCATCAAAGGGACGATGGACGGGGCCATGTACCGTCAAACCTTGGGTGAGAACCTCCTTCCCTCAGCCAGGGCATTGAAAATGGGTCGTGGATGGGTATTCCAGCATGACAATGACCCAAAACACACTGCCAAGGCAACAAAGGAGTGGCTCAAGAAGAAGCACATTAAGGTCCTGGAGTGGCCTAGCCAATCTCCAGACCTTAATCCCATAGAAAATCTGTGGAGGGAGCTGAAGGTTCGAGTTGCCAAACGTCAGCCTCGAAACCTTAATGACTTGGAGAAGATCTGCAAAGAAGAGTGGGACAAAATCCCTCCTGAGATGTGTGCAAACCCGGTGGCCAACTACAAGAAACGTCTGACCTCTGTGATTGCCAACAAGGGTTTTGCCACCAAGTACTAAGTTGTTTTGCAGAGGGGTCAAATACTTATATCCCTCATTAAAATGCAAATCAATTTATAACAATTTATAACATTACCATGTAGACTCACATGGTGAGTCTACATGGTAACCTGTAGACTCCTAAATTGACAGTGCAGTTTGTTTAGACAATTTTACAGCCAACTAGCTACTTCACATGCAGATATTGACTTTGGTATTATTGTGTGTGGCTACGTTTGCTACGTACCTAGCTAGCTAGCCCATAGAGCGTTGAGGCTTTTGTAGTAAACTTGCGCTGCAACAGATTTTCACAACAATTTTCGCATTGCTATCATCCTTTTAACGACAAAATTAAACATTTGTTCACAAAAAATCTTGTCCTCACATATTAGTGTTATTTAACACTGTAGATTATAGGAATGTGTTGTTTTGGGTGGATTTTTCCTTTAATATGTTATCTGAGTGAGAGTGACTAACAAAATCAATGGTGGCCCCTGGAGGTCTGGGCCCCTGGGCACATGTCCTGCGTGCCCGATCG